TCCTACTACTCAATCTTCCCACACACCAGCAACCAATTTCCATGTGGAAGATGCAGATAACAATGACCATGGTCAGAGTTTTCATCCATCTGAGGTGCATGATCTGCCTGAGGTGTTGAGCTCTTCCAATTCTATGGGAAGAGCTGCTATTGACACAGTAGAGCCCAAGCTTGACATTCTTAATGGTGACTTTGTTAGCCATTGGCAAAATTTGCAGTATGGGCGAATTTGTCAAAATTCACACCAACCTGATTCTGTTAACTATCCTTCATCTGTTGTGGTACCTCCTGTTTATTTGCAGAGTCGTTTTCCCTGGGATGGCCCTGGAAGACCACAGTCAGCTAATGTGAATCTTTTCACTCAGCTTATGAACTATGGGCCACACCTAGTGCCTGTTGCTCCTCTCCATTCAGTTTCCAACAGACCAGCCAATATTTACCAACGATTCATAGATGAGATACCACGGTATCGAAGTGGGACAGGAACCTACCTGCCAAATCCTGTAAGATTATTTTCTTATCCAACTTGGTACTTTATGGTGTATACTGTAATTTGTTTTCTTACTAAAATAAAACTTACAAGTGTGAGAATATGTCTGTCTTCTTTGATAAAGTTATGATTCTATTGCTAAGCCTAAGGTTAATCTGCTTCTAGGACTGCTTATTTTACCTTCTTTTCTAATTTATTTCAGAAGGTTTCTGTTCGGGATAGACATTCTACAAGCACCAGAAGGGGTATTCACAACTATGACAGAAGTGATCAGCATGGTGAGAGAGAAGGGAATTGGAATGTTAACTCAAAGTTGAGAACAAGTGGGCGTAGCCATTACCGCAGTCAAGCTGAGAGATCTAGCTCAAGGCCAGAAAAGTTGCCAACGGGTGAGAGCCATTCTGAAAGATCATGGGGTTCACATAGACCTGATCCTTTTGTTTCACACCAGAGTGGTCCTGTCCGGTTAAATTCTTCACAGAACAGTCTATCAAATTTGGCTTATGGAATGTACTCTCTACCGGGCTTGCGCCCTAGTGGGATATCATCAAATGGACCAACAATTCCACCTGTTGTAATGTGGTATTCATATGATCATAATGCTGGCTACGGCACACCAGCGGAACAGCTCGAATTTGGAACTCTAGGACCTATGGGTTTCCCCGGTGTCAATGAAGTATCACTGATCAATGAGGGAAGCCAATCTGGTGGAGTTTTTGAGGAGCAAAGGTTTAATGGTGGCACTGCTCAACAATCGTCACCTGATCAACCTGCTTCACCCAAGTTTCGAAGGTTGTAATTGTGTCCCGGCTATCACTTTTTAGGAGAATAATAGATGTGCGTTGCAGCTTGCCACATTGAATTAGTTATATTATTTTTAGGATGGTTTGTACCCCAGTGCCTAATCTTTTAATCCTATTATTTATCCATAACATGTTTTCACTATTTACTTCAAATTCCCCTGTTGAGGAAGTGCCTTGTTTATTTAAAACTTTTTGTGGTGGTTCTTAGTATACTTTAATTGGACTCCTTTTTTATGGTATCTGAATTTTATGATTTTTTTTTTTGACAGGGGGATTTGATTCTATTGCCAGATCTTGTCAGGTGGAATCGTTAACCTAAAGAGGAGGAGGTTTATCTTCCCTCGCATATCAAGGCAGCCAGGCGGGGAATGAGTGGGGAAAACCTTTATGTAAAACCCACCTATTTTCATTCAACGGGTTCTTTTTCGCACCCCACACTTCAAAAGCAAATTACTTTTGCTCTTCCTCTGAATCTTGTTTCTCGAGAATGCCCTTCGTTTATGCGCTGCCTCGTGTACACTTACAGGTGATCAACCCACCTTGTTTACATTTTTTCATCGAAGATTTTGAGTTTTGTTTAGGATGAGGAACAGTAGTACTAAAGATGATGCAATACTCGGTGATTAGTTTTCATTTAAGGTTTGGACATGCTTCAGAAATATCACAAAACTGGGTTAGGTTCAGAATTCAGAAATATCACCGTGTTAGCAGTTTTGGCAGCTTCTCATACAGTGTTGTAGTGTAGGTCCTCCTTCTGGTAGATAATAGTCTTTAACTTTTGAAAAGTATTAACTGTGTAACAATAACAATATGAAAATTGTATTAGATGTCATTTTTATCTGGCCTCTCGCCCTTTCTTTATGAAGAAGCCTATCACTCAAGTTGGAGGATGGGGAAATCAGTTCAACTATGCTATATGTAACAGAATTATCCCGACGGCAAAAATGTAAAAATATGAACAAGCTTAATATTTTTTTGGTGACTTAATAAGCACAATGTCCACGGCATTATACTCACATCCTTTGAAGTTTAACATTTTTCTCCATACACGTCCCTCCATTACTCTACGAACCTACCTTAATTAATGCAAACCCCTCCTGATTTGTTATACATATATATACATTAAGTAAATAGGATCTCGGAGAGTGAGAGCAACTTATGTTTACAATCATCATTACTTATTTTCATATGCATGTGGCTTGTCTGGTGCTTAAGATTTTGATTTATGCAGAAAATCCATTTCATGTAAAACTCGTAACATTAGTCATCTACTTGTTCCACGACTAAAGTTTACCATTCTTGTGCATCCATTCAACCTTCAGAATCTGAGAATTGGATCTTGTGATTTCTAAGTTGTCCCAGTCAATATGTACCGAACTGTGGTGGCATCTGTCAAATTGCATGTCCTTATACCATAACCATAATGTACATGTCCACTCTGTTGCTAGTGGTCACAACCACAACAACACTGTCTGCTATTATGTAATCACAGCAAATTTAATAAGACTTTTGCCCTTGCCGGAAAATCTCTGCATTTATATTGCAGGTTGAAGCTTGTAAGTGTCTCAAAACGAGCTGAGTGACAACTCTAGACTATCTAAACCAAAGTTCATATTACAAATCACAGTAACGTTAAAACTAAGATAACAGTAGAAAATATTTATTTTCTTGTCTACACACTTTTATTCTTAGATAATGTGTGTAAATAATAGTATAAAATACACAGGAAAATAATTGAAAAATAAGTGGTGAATTTAATGTTGTTACTATTTAAGTAGTTTACAGTATTACTATATACCCTAAATAACTCATAATTAATCATGGATGTTTATAATTGACTTAGAGCTCATTTACGACACCACCATATACTCAATTTAGCATCATATCTATAAAATATTTGGACTATGGCTTCCTGCACCTCCATAATTATTAACTGCATCTCCACAATATTAGAAAAAGATTCAAATATCCTTCACCGCTTTACAACTGCCACCGCTTCCACCAGTCACCGCCTCAGTGCTGTTGTAGAGGGAGTAGCAGAGGAGGAATACCAGAAAAGTTCGAAACATATTTCATGTGTCTCGGGAAACTCTTTAAAAATTTTGTTTTCAAAAATTTTGTTCCAAAAATATTGTTCGGAAAATTTCAAAAACTGTTTTGAATATTTTTTTTAGAAGATAAAATTGTTATTTTGAAAATTTGAGGAAGTGCGTAAAGAAATTGTGAGGAAACAATAAATAAAAGCTAAATATTTTATGTTACATTACATCGTATATAAAGCGCCATATGTAATTCGTAACTACTGTTTTTTTTAGATATTTGCTTTCTGCACCCATGATTACTAGCTGTACTCCCATACTAACAACAAAAGATTAAAACTTCTTCCTTTTTGGATCACAATCTTGTTGCTATCACAGTGCACTCCCGTGTTTTCTTCCTACACCACACACCATAGATATGATATAATGACCACATTAGTCTTTACAAAATAATTAATAAAAATCTATATTATTTTTTAGTCCAAAAATATATTCTTCTTTTTAAATTACATAATCCAAATATATTTTAAAAAACAATACATTCCGAATTTCATAATTTATAAATAAAAATTGTATGTACCACGTTTTCATTCTACAGTTCAATATTATTATTTTTTAATATTATTTAACATTCTAAAATTTGGAATACATTTTTTAGAAATACTCTGAAATTCATAATTTAAAATGTTAAATAATATTAAAAAAATAATATACAATCTATAATATAACACCAAAAATTTTAATTTTCAAATTATATAATTCAAAAACTTTTCAAATCACCATCCGAGATTTCTTCTGCAAAATTGCTCCAGAAGAGATAGAGGTGAAAATGAGTTGTAGTGGCCTAGCCTAAGTCTATTGGCCTAGGCCAAGGTGTAAAAGTGGGTAAAATCAAATCAAATTTTAGACTGTTTTTCCGTGCACATCTAAAGCACCTTTAATTTCAGAAAATAATCTTAAAATGCGTTTCTTTTCAATGGATTTTGAACTCTTTCAACAAAAATTTGTTAAGAAATAATTCTTTTATCAAATTTTGAGATTGGTTTTTAAAAAAAATTCAATAAATTTTAAAACTCAGTAAAAGAAATTTTTTCAATAAATTTTGAATTTCGTTAAAATATAAAAAATGAAATGTATAACTTTTTGAATTACAAAAATAGTTTTAAAATTAAAAAAAATGAAAGTATAGGATGAAATAATTGAATATCCATGAGAGGAAGAAACAGCCGAAAATTTATTTGAAAAGAACTTTTCTAAGTGTAAAAATTTAATTCTTTTAATTTCCAAAAAGTGAACTGCAGATTCTTATTTTCATTCTAGAACGAAAATAAGTTGCCATGAAAAGAAATGGTCTAATATAGGTTACATATTTTCTAGTCCACAAACATACAGCGGGCCAAATCACTATTTATTTGTTCTTAGAGTGCTTTCGTTACCTAAAAACATTAAATTCTGATTAATTATAATTGAGGTGCACATATTAACATATTTCAGAGCTGGTTTTTATTGTATTTTTTAAAGGAAACGTTGCCATTTTCGTCACCTCTTGTATTTTCTGAAGCTAATTTTCTAGGTAAGCTACAGATATTAGAATTAATATTTAATAACAAAGTTCAACAAGAAAAGCGATGTTGTGTACTATTTTTTCCCATTGCATTCAATGAATTGAATTTTGCATGTGTGGAAGAGTGATGACTTGACTCTTCTCACATGGTTGACTTGGTCTCAGAAAGCTTCTCTCCCTCTCTTTCTTCGTTCTTTCTCCTTCTCTTTATCTTTTCACAGCCACATCAATAAAAGCACAATCATTCCCTCTCTCAACTCTGAACTCTCCCTGTTCCATTCAAGCCTACAACCTATTACTGCATTTAACGAAACATTCCATGTTTAAGGTTGTTGTTTCATCCTTCTGTGAAAAAAAAAAAACAGACAACTTTTATTATCTATTTTTCCACTTAAGAAACTTATTGGGTTTTTCTCATGTTGATGTTTAGCTTCCTCTCTTATGTCAGTTTGGTGTTTCACATGGGAAAAACAACACCCAGTAAATACTAATAATAAAAAAACTTATTTTTCATTTTTTATATATTTGTTTGATCAAGTTCCTTGTTTCTCCTGTTTGTTCTGCTCGTTCTTCTTCTTCATCATTAGTCGTTTGGTGTCGGTAAAGTTTTCTTAAAAAATTAGGGTGTCCTTTTGTTAGGCTATTTATATATTTACAACAGTCATTTCTGACCTGGTCGAGGTTGGTTGTTATGGCCGTACTTGATTTTGGAGATTGACTTGACTTGTATATTTATATCCAAGTCGTTGGTGGCTTCACTTTTATAACTTTAATTAAATGATATTAATATTGCTTTAACGATTAACCATTGACCCTTGCCTTCTTTGTCACACTACTTTTAGCTTGAGGGAATAAGTTTCAAATTTGATGCTGGATTTTGCAGGTCACAATAATCTTCTGTTTCTGCAAAGCTTGAGGGAGAACGAAAACTGCTGAAGTAGAGTCTAATCATGAATGGAAAAGGACATAGATTTGTGAGGTTCGGTTGTTCAGTCCTGGTTTTGCCGTATATTTGTCTTGTTTAAATTTTAGTGCTCTTCTTGTGAACCACTTCTGCTTCATCTACTTTTAGTTTCATTATGCTTCATTCAGCTACTTATTTTCTTTAAAAATAGGATCATCTGCCTAAAAAAATAATAAAATTTAACTATTTTAACAGATGCACTTTTATAATACATGATAGATTGACCCCAAACTGTGCAATTAGTAATCCAAATTACCATACTGCAGTTGGGTTATTGCCAATTTTAGATCAATAACAATATTAGATCACTGTATTGGCGGTTTCTCTGTGTTCTCTGTTTTTATCAAGTAAAAGGAATCATAGCACCAATAGCCTCTGGTGATGAGATTTGATGATGATATCATTTTGATATTGGAGTATGTTGTAGTCAAACACAACCATTGAGGGGTCCATCTGGAGACTTAATCATAATTCATATGATATTTGTAACAGTTGGAAGCTTATTTGTAGTTGTTGGAAGCTAATGAATAAATATCTGATGCATGATTAAGTTAAAATTTCTCTCCATCCAGGTTTGAAGATTGGCAATCGGAGTCATCTTTTAGCATAGAGCAAAACGATCACAAAAGAAGACCAAGTGTGTTTGAAGTTTTGAAGAGTATAGGAAGAAGGGTTGAGGGTAGTTCAGAGAAGATGAAGAACTTAAGAAGAGTTTCAGCTGTTCATCCCTTAAGTGATGGACAGAAAAAGCTGCCACCTAGGAAGAAAATTCTTGATCCACAGAGTTCAATGCTTCAGAAATGGAACAAAATCTTTGTAATTTCGTGTGTGTTGGCAGTCTCTGTGGACCCGTTCTTCTTTTACATTCCAGTGATTGGTAATGAGAAAAAATGCCTTGAGTTGAGTGGGTCATTGCAGATCACTGCCAGTGTTTTTCGCACCTTCTTTGATCTATTCTACATTCTTCGCATAATCTTTCAGTTTAAGACAGGGTTTATTCCCCCTTCTTCTCGTGTTTTTGGAAGGGGTGAGCTCGTTGATGATCCTTTGGCTATATCGAAAAGATACTTAACTTCATACTTCATCATCGACATTCTATCAATTATTCCACTTCCACAGGTATGTTTCTGTTTCTTATATTTATTTATTTATATATTGATAAGAAGGCAAAATAAAGGCATTATGTATCAAGTAAATGTTATTTCGGTTTATGTGAAAGATATAATTATTTAATGTTGTGTTTAAAATTAGGTGATTGTTTTAGCCATACATCCAAACATGAAAACAGATCCATTTATAGCAAAGGATTTGTTGAAGTATTCTGTATTAATCCAGTATGTGCCAAGGCTTCTGCGGATCCATCCACTGTTCAAAGAAGTAACTAGAACTTCTGGCATATTGACTGATACAGCAGGGGCTGGAGCTACTTATAATCTTTTTCTTTATATGCTAGCAAGTCATGTAAGCCAAGTTTTATTGCTTATTCAAATCCAATTTATCTTAGGTAGTTACCATGTTGAGTTCATGATGACCAAATACATGTGGTTTATCAGGTAGTTGGAGCTTTCTGGTATTTGCTCTCAGTAGAGTCAGAGCTGCGTTGCTGGCGCGAAAAGGTGAAGGGTGTAGACTTGAGTTGTAGAAACCGCATCGCAGAAGACATTTCAGCTCTCAATAAATCTTGTTCTTTGGTGGACCCTGATGATATCAAAGACCGAGAAAGCTACAACTTTGGAATCTTTTTTGATGCTTTACATTCCGGTGTGGTAAAATCAACCACAGATTTTCCTAAGAAGTTCTTCTACTGCTTTTGGTGGGGTTTGCGCAATTTAAGGTTGGTCAAATCTTCTTGTTCTTGCTTTTCATATAAATGAAAATGCCACGTACTTGTAGCATGAAGTGTAGAACTTCTACATAGTTTTTTTCGTAATATTTCTACACATTTATTATTAGTGTTTGTAAACATCTTATAAAGGAAAAGGCGGTGCAAATTTATTTGAAGACAGGGCCGAAAGCTTACCAATATAATTTTGTCATCTTTTGCAGTTCTCTTGGACAAAATCTCAAGACAAGTACTTATGTACCAGAGATAATATTTGCAATCTTCATTTCCATCTTTGGATTAGTTTTATTCTCGTTACTTATTGGAAACATGCAGGTAATTCATTGTCTGCGAAAAAGTAGTTTTTTGAAAATTTTACTTTATGATGACAAGTTGTTAACCACAAATTCTCCCATTACTGTGTTGAATATTGTTACAGAAATATTTGCAATCTACAACTGTTCGAGTGGAGGAGATGAGAGTGAAGAGACAGGACGCAGAACAGTGGATGTCCCACCGTATGCTACCTGAGAACTTGAAGGACAGAATTAGACAATATGAACAGTATCAATGGCAAGAAAATAGGGGTGTTGAGGAGGAGGCATTGATTCGTAACCTTCCTAAAGATCTCAGAAGGGACATAAAGCGTCACCTTTGTCTAGCTTTGGTTATAAAGGTGAGTATCATCCATAATCATGTCTCCCCACATAATTTTTTTTTATCTGACTTTTGTGTAATGAACATTTTCATGTTCTTATTGATTTAGGTGCCAATGTTTGAGAAAATGGATGGGCAGTTGTTGGATGCAATTTGCACTAGACTGAAGCCAGTCCTTTATACTGAGAAGAGCCAAATTTTTCGTGAAGGAGACCCAGTTGATGAGATGCTTTTCATTATGCGTGGAAAAGTCTCTACTGTGACGACAAATGGTGGAAGAACTGGTTTCTTCAACTCCTTGTTTCTGGAAGCTGGTGCATTCTGCGGAGAGGAGCTTCTGACATGGGCCTTGGATCCTAACTCCTCCTCGAATCTTCCCATTTCAACTAGGACAGTGGAAACCATATCAGAAGTTGAAGCCTTTGCTCTCATGGCGGATGATTTGAAGCTTGTTGCCTCCCAATTTCGCCGTCTTAGCAGCAAGCAGCTCCAACACGCTTTCAGGCAAGAATTCGTAGTTTATATCAGATTATTAAATTTTTAGCAATAACAGCAGCAAAAAAAAAAAAATGTGACAACAAACAACTTAAGTGTTTTACATTAGAGCTCACATATGGGATCATGGAAAAGATCTTAGAAGACATTATGTTCTCTTATCTTTTTAAGAAAAGAGCTTCATAACGTCATCAATTTTGCAATAACCTTGTTTTCCATGCAGGTTCTATTCCTCACAGTGGAAGACATGGGCTGCATGTTTCATACAAGCAGCTTGGCGTCGATACTGGAAAAAGAAGGCTGAGAGGTCTTTGCACGTAGAAGAAGACAAGCTACAAGATGCTTTGACAAATGATGACGGCGCTACTCTGAGCCTTGGCGCAACCATATATGCATCAAGGTTTGCTGCCAATGCACTGCGAAACCTGAGAGAAAACAACAGACAGAATAGAATGCAACAGAGACTACTGCCTCTGCTACCTCCAAAGCCAGCCGAGCCAGACTTCACTTCTCTGAAACACTAACTTGGATATATATAGGAGTAAGGACATGTTATCCATACTGCATAGCTGTTGTGTGTGCATATTTTGGGAGGGTTTCTTAAGAATTCATTCAATAAATTAATGTATATGTCGTAGCCAAAGCCTTTCACACGATGTATTTAAATTTAACAATATCTATGCAGAATACAAACAAGATGATTGAATTACATTTTTTTAAATAGCAGATCTCATCATTTCAAAGTACAACCTTATCCACAATGCATATTCTGGTCTTGAATTTTGTAAACTATGCTGATTATCTTCAGACATGTATAGTTCATGCCTTATTCATTTGATCATTTTGTAAGAAAGTTTATGTCATTATTTTTCCTTTTCAAGTGGTTAGTTATAGGAAAATTTATATATAATATTCTTATGTTAAAATAAATATAAAGATTAATTAGATCAACATTAGTTAACATATGTCAGTGCTTGTGCAGTGGAGGAAGCTGCATTCTTATTCAGAATAGTTGAGAAAGCAATATTTTATTTATTCATGATTCAGTACAAGCTCATTATCAATTTATTTTTCTACTCCCTTTATAATATATTGATATGATAATCTTGCACTTGCAGCAGCAGCCAAATGAACCTCACATGATAAAGATTGCTCTGCATACCAGAAATAACATCATCATTTTCCGTGTCATAATCAAAGTTAAGTTGGAAGCATAATAAAAAATTGAATTTGAAAAAGAGCAGAGAAGCTTACTTTTTGCAATCAGTTTTGTCGTCAATAGGAGGAAGCGTAACAGAGAGTCCACACTCTTTGGGAACTAGAGGTATACGTTGGGGATCATAATCTCCAATCGCTGCCAATCCTTGTTTGAGGCACAGACATATAGCTTCTCTATTTTCGTGGCTTCCAGCCTCACCATTCAGTGACTTGATACCTTGGCAACACTCGTCGGAGGGGTGCTTTGTGTTTGATTTGAGGAAGCTAACACAAGGTGTAACATCCTCAATAACTGTGGGACATTTTATGGAACCCTGAGCTTCACATCCAGTAATTAGGAGAATGACAATGGATACGATTGCTGCTCTTGACATTTTCATTGTTAAAAGACACAACACCTTTAAAGATAGTTGGGACTGAACTGTTTTTAGTACAGGACCAAATGTCATACATATATATACACACACCCACATGTATATATATAGATAGATAGATAGAAAGAGAGATTGAGAGATTGTGCAGTTCTTTGTTTGTTCTGTCTACTTGCAGTGCATGCAAACTTCATGAATGAATAAAAGTGAACCATACTTGTGTAGTTTACTGTGTACTGTGAGCGAAATGATAGGAAGAACGGATTGCCTTTACAAGTTGTTGGCTATATAAATGTCATTCAAAGGGTGTGATATATCAAGCATTGCATATGAGATTTAATATCAAAGGCTTCTTATATAAAAATAATATTTCTGATATTACATATATATATATATATAAACACTAATCTTAAACTTGTGCCTACCACGAGGTGATGTTTGTTTTTATTTGTGTATTTTTTTAAGTTAGTAAATATATATTATATTAAAATAAATTTATAGGTTAAGAAAATAAATAATAAATATTTTTACAAAATATAAAATTTAGATGATGCAGAAAAAAGGTAAGGAGTAGATGATATAAGAATACAAATGTTAGAGGGTAAAATAAAATTAAAAGAATTCACAATTCAAAAATACAAAGGTTAGACGACGTAGAAAAATATAAATAATAGATTTTTTAAAAATACAAAGGATAAATTTGAAAAAAAAAATGTAAAGTAGACTATGTAAAAATAAAAGAATTAGATGATGCAAATAAAAAATGTAAAAAGTAGATGATCTAATTTTACAAAGGATAAACCATGTAAAAAAAAATTAAAGATAGACTCTATAAAAATAAAAAGGTTAGACGATAAAAAATTAAATAAATAGTAAGTAATCTAAAATTACAAATGATAGACCTTGAAGAAAATGTAAAGAGTAAACATACAAAAAGATTCAGAAAAATGTAGAAAAGAAAAGAAGAAGTTAATATTGTTTTGATGATGATACCAAATCCAAAGGTTTAAAGAGAAGCAAAGTTATTGAAAAACTTGTAATTTTTGTTTATAATGTTATGCCTCAATCATATATTTGGTAAATTTGGTAATGTTACTTGAAGTGTTTTAAGTTAAGTATAGAAAGTAGAGCTGTTAAATGAGTAT